AGGTATAATAATAATGACAGACTTGTTAAATAACCAGAAATTACCGAAGAAAAAAAATATCTACACAAAATTTTGATAATTAGGTAGAATATATTAATGGGGAGGTTATTGAGAAACCAGATTTTTCATGAACGTTTTCAGAAAAGTTCAATTGAAACTCAAGAAGTTCCGAGATTTTCAATATGAAATTCACAGTAATTTAATTAAAAAACAGGTGCCATTCGATAAAACTGTATCATTAGCTCTCGAGAAAAGCAAATAACTATATTTCAAAATCTTATCACACCAATATCGTTTACTTTGGAATCGGTTTGCCTTCCTCACAAGTTCAAAGTATACAAAGAAGATTAGGTCACGACGATAACAGGTTTTTTATAATTTCATCGATCAAACATCGGTTGATTGATGGCTGATGATTTATCAGGATTTTTGTGAAATCTCGAAGGTGAAATATATCTGATTTATGGTGAAATTCAAAAGAATGATTCCCCTTTTAAATATACAAAATTTCTTGGCAAAAATAGAGAGCCAGGAAATGAAAAGTATTTTTTTTTTGATAAACATGCCGAATGTATCAGATAAATTCTTATGAACTTTCAGCTATACTTTATGTACCAATTATGTGAAATCTACTTCTCAGAGACATATACATTATATGAACTCTCGGAACTCCACACTAGGTTCAATTCTCAATTTTTTATTTCGTTATAAAACGTATCTGATCTAAAATAATTGCTAATTCACTGAAATAATAGCAGAAATGTTCAGATACTATTTACAATATGTCTGATATATAAAAAAGACATGGTACCTAAGTGTGTTACTATTTTTTCACAAAATCAGTGAGTATATGTATGTTTCATCTGGAAGACGTCTAAAGAAAGGAAGAAGGAAAATAAGCACAATAAAACTCTTCATGAAGATATGTACAGCATACACAAAACTTTTTTTCCAGAAACGAACTGAACTGAAACACCCCTTTGAAACAACTTCTTTCAAAAAATATTAAATTAGATAGATACATCTTGATTTGTGAAGAATATAATTCTTACTGTTTCATCACGATTCAATTTCAATTTGTTGTCGTAGAAAAAGTATAGAGTACAACTCGTTTGGAAAGCATTCTTCACACTTATGTTACTTACGTCATAATCTTGTGGAAAATGCTGACTTCAAAACTTGAACAATATACTATTACCTGAATTGAATAGGGCAATTCAATGTTTAAATGAAAATAGTTATTACGAGATGACTTTTTTTTTATTTTTGTCTGAAAGTTAGGTACTTATTTGCATGATCTATCTCTCTTTGGAAGATTCCCACATTTTTTGTATGAAGATGGAGTAGTAGAAAGCTAAAATCTTTCTTTCCCAGATACTATTGCCTACTCGATTAACGACAAATTAATAGAGGCGTTACAATCTTTATATGCCACTGAAGAAGATAACGAAGAGGAAGAGGAGAATGTAACCAACATCTAAATTTCACCACCCGCGAAACGGCAAAGAGTCAGAGAAGACATATGATTAGTTTTGGTGTACATTTGTAAAAATAAATTTTACATATATTCTTCAATAAATCTGAGTTGAACCTCAAAACGATGAGCAGCCACAGCCCGTCGCGTATTTCTGATATGTACCGTTCTTGGTGGAATCAAATGTGCCAAGAATTAAAATTATTGAACAAAAAAGATAGGAAATTTAATTATCTATAAAAAGGTCCTCATAATTGTGGGCCTAAAGTGCACGGTTACGGAAATACAGGCCCAAACGATTTTTCACAAAATGGTGGCACTTCCGTCCGCCATTTTTGTAAGTATTTCGTGTTTTCAGGTTAATTACGTCAGACTGCAACTATCTATGTAATAAAATAACTCCTGCCTAATTTTGCATAACAAAATCCTCTATTACTTGTACTATGATGTGAAATTTTTCAAATTCATGTTCCTTTCTCAAGAGAGGTAGCCACGTTTGATCGAAATTGATTGAACATGATGCCACATTCTCATTTCGATTCAACGTTGTACTAGTTATTTCTTTCAGTTCTCTTCTCGTTTCGCTGTTTTCCATTTTGACGTTGTCCCAGTTCATTATAAACCTACACCATCTCTTGCAGAAAAGTGTAACATTTGAAGAAAGTTATTGTTGTTCTAGATGTTGTGTAAGTGGTTGTTGTTTGCTCATATTTTTAATTTTTGGACATGTCTTATTTGCGATTTTTTTTAAGGACAAAACACAAGCACTACAGGAAACACCCTAGGGCGCTCTCAGAGCGGTGCCTGTGCGAAATTAGCGATTCACATAGGATTTGAATCGCTGGAGATTGAACCCATTCGGAAAAACGTTCTCAGGAAAATTATTCTATACAAACGCAGTTCTCGAGATGGAAGAGTTCTCAAACAGTGAAGTTTGAAGTGTACTGAGTCGAACGTCAAAACGATGAGCAGCCACAGCCCGTCACGTATTTCTGATATGTACCGTTCTTGGTGGAATCAAATGTGCCAAGCTACATGAACACTTTACGTGAAAGTATCTATAGAAGTTTTTGAACATAATTCTACATCTGTATTATGTGACACATTGTCATATTTAATATAATGTTTAATGAAATATCATTTGCCCATTTTTGTCTTTCTAAAAGTACGTTGGCAACATGAAATTCTGATTAATATTTGATTAATTACATTTTATATTGAAATTTTGATTGTTTTGTTATAGAATTTTTTTTTTCCAGCGAAACAATGAATTCGTAAATTGCGAAACTTTGTCATATAATCAGGACGTAAAACATAATGTTTGAATTCATTTCTCTTCCCAAAGCCCTCAATCAATAAATAAGGGCTTCAATCAGTCTTTTTACGAATAAGTACATCAAGGAATGATTATGCCCAAATTATTCAAAAGTTTGTCAACAGATAAAGCTGTTTGAAGAGTGTTGCACAAAAAATACTATCTAGTTCTCGATCTTGCCTTTATTTATTCTTGATTCAGTGATCTAACTGTGTTTCAGAAACACACGTATTACCACTCGAGCAATTGATATTTTTATGTTTATCTGTCTGATTTGATAGGCCGAAGAAAATTGTTTTGAACTCAATATATTTAGATCAATATTGGTTTTGTGATTATTTTTTCCTCCTTATCACGCTAATCATAGATGAAGGTGGATATTTCTTCTATACAGAGTGACGAAAACGCAAAACGTTAGTTACACGATGAAATACACATCTCAAAAAAAACTCTAGGAAACAGCAATTAAAATTCATGTAGCTTTTCAGGAACCTTGTATATTCCTTGAAATTTATGAAGATATTCTTAATTATTATCTCAAATATATGGTAGTTTCCGAATGAAATGTACATTTTTTAATTACGTTTTAAGAATACGAAAAACGATATGCCTAGTTAGTTTTATTCAGAACGGATCGTTTTCTGCACACTTTGTAATAAATTATTCTGCGAATTCAGATTCATGAATGAAAACTATTTCAAAACCAACATTAACAAACAACTCCTCGAACATTGTTTTGAATCTATACATAAATATATTTAAACAAAACTGTAAGTTTAATGTATACCTATTACTCTACTTATGTGATTGTATTTCAATATAAATTTTTTCATTTGATGATTTCAATATATTTTGGTGAATGCTGTCATTGTATATCAATATGATATAACAAAGTGTTACTGGCTGGCTATTCACTATGATTACTTTGCTTCCGATTGATTTTTATTTCTTTGTTGAAGGAGGCAAGTTACACTCTCGAAAATGTTCTTGTTAACTTCTTTTAGTAAAAAATACCCAAAGAAATGAATCTTTCCGTTTTCACTTCGTTCAATAATAAACTGTTCAAAAAATAAGGTGACTTTTCAAATTTCGCGGAACACCTACATTCGTTTAGTGATTTTTAAACTTCTTATGTTGATACACTCGTCTCGAACAAATGTTCACAGTTCCAGATGTTTGGTATGTTTAGTTTATTGGTGAGAGGCATGAAAGTTAGAAGTGTTTTTCGTAATCAACAATTTTCTGTTATCGAAAAACGCATCAGAGAATTTGCATCAAATTTTGTGTATAAAATGGAATCAAGTGCTGAAAAACACTTGAAATATTGACAGTGGCATACGGTGATTGTACTCTGAGAAGTTCAAAGTTCACCCTGGACGCCCCAGCACATCAACAACCGATGAAAATATTGAGAAAGTGGAGAAGATTGTTATGGAGAATCGTCAAATCACTATTAGAGAAGTTGCTGGGGATGTCGGCATATCGGTTGGCCCATGCCATGCAATTTTTTTTTGGGAATTTCTGTCATTAAGCGTTTCTATTTTTGATCGTTTGGGAATTCCTGCATTTTCTGTGACAGTCAACTTGCCAATTTAAATAAATATTTTCATGGATTCACTAGTCATTATGTGGGATTGAATGAATTAATATCGCAATAAACAACTGATGTCTAAATGTTAGTAAATACAATACGGTTTTTTAGGTCTTGATCAATATTTTCCCTGAATTTGACGTTGCGATTGTACAATATAGATGTCGCTCACTTCGTGATCTCCTTCAAACTATGGAAGGTAGAAGTAAGGAGAACCATCTCTGTGTATCAGAAAGTGTCTATCCAAAGTAATTAAATTAAGGAAGCGCCACTGTAGCAAGACTATAAATTTCAAATGAAGCCCTAAAAGCTGAAGAATAAGAAGAACTAGCTTTTCAAACAATAACTCATTGACTTTCAACGTTATCTCACAGTAACTTTGTTACGTTTCATTTTCAAAATATTATTCGATTACGTGAATAGTTATTAGAAATACTGAATATTCGAACTCAGCATACTTCACGTTCTCTATAATTGTTAAGCTCGCATCGTATCACTACTGATATTAGCGCCATTTCGATAAATTTTGAACTGTAATCTGTCGTTTACAGCTAAATCCCCACTTGAGATGATCTCCTTACCTCTACCCTTCATTCTTCGATAAACGACCCTTTGACATTCGACAGAGTCGATAAAAATATTGACAACTCATTTAAAAAATGGCGGCAGACGTAAACACAGAGATAACGTTCAATTCGGCGAGAATGTGGTTCCCAATAATTATAAACACGGTAATGTCTATCGTCGCCTACTTAGCGACAGTAAGAATAATTCCAGGAATAAAAGACAAGTTCATCAAAGCCAACTTGTTCGGAATCGACATGAGCAAGACGACCAGCGAAAAAGTGTGAGGTTATCATCTGTTGCATCACTTTTCCAATCTAAAAGTTTCGAATTTCAGGCCTGAATCTCTGGGCGTTATATCGGGATGCTCTTTCCTAGTCACCATGTTTCTGTTCATACCGATTCCGTTCGGGAACAGCCTTTTCAACGGCGATTTTCCTCATGACGAATTTGTGGAACTTATTGCAGCGCTGTTGTCCATTTGCTGCATGCTCCTGCTCGGTTTCGCAGATGACGTTTTGGATCTGCGCTGGAGACACAAACTACTGCTTCCCACCATAGCATCCTTACCCTTGTTGATGGTCTATTATGTTAATTTCAATTCGACGACTATAGTCGTACCAAAACCTTTCAGAGACTTTTTCGGATTCTCTGTGGACATTGGGTTGCTTTATTATGTTTATATGGGGATGTTGGCGGTTTTCTGCACGAACGCTATCAATATTCTTGCCGGTGTGAATGGATTAGAAACTGGCCAAAGTGTTGTAATTGCTTTATCAATTATCATCTTCAATGTGATGGAGTTGAATGGAGCTCTTTGGAAAGCCCATTTGTTCAGTCTTTACTTCATGTTGCCTTATACTGCCACTACGCTGGCTCTGCTGAAACACAATTGGTAAGTAGGGTTTTGTAGGAATAATATAAGGAAGATATTTGACCTAAAATATGATTATAAACTTTGAAGTTAACACTTGCTTTGCAGTTGCATTCAAATTACAGCATCCTTTTTATGAAAATCGTGAGTTGGTTGTTGCCTACAGATTTCTGTAACTATTTTAGTTGATGTTGCATCCGATAGATGGACATTAGGACTGATCACTGTTTGTTTTACTGTTGGTCTAGTTCCCTTCGAGAACTAACCAAGGTTTTGTATTCTATTTTTGATAACACAACTTGAAATGATTTCTGAAGCATATTCAATTCAATAACCATAAAATACATTCCTGGTAACTTTTTGAAGTTTTGGAATGCAGATTATGTGAAAAATATGATTCAAGAAATTTGAAAGAGAGGGAGAATGTAGCAAAAGTAACAATTCATGCTACAGTTTCTTCCCAAATGGCAGCGATTTAAAATCTGCATTTAACATATTAACCCTCATTTCTTCATATAAATATAGATGTAACCCCGTATAATTTTCATATAATTTTAATTTAATACAAGAAAACAAAATAGAAGTGTGTATCTGTATAATAGTCGAGAGGACTAATGCCGAAAGGTACTGAGAAATGGTAAGTTTGAATATTTCCTGTCAAAAATGAAAATATTCCATATACTACTAAAAATCATCTCTGTTGATTAATTCATTTCAAAACACATCATGTATTTGCTGATAGGTGTACTTATTTTGAATTTAATTTTTCATTCCTTTGACATTTTCTGTGTATTTTCCGGATATAGTTATACTGGCTCACTGAACAATACATTTAAGATGTAATTAAGAAGAGGCAATTTCACCTGTGACTAATATTTGAATGTGACTTAAAATTTCTGGCAATAACCAATGTTTTCCTTGTTTTTGACGTCTGAATTAACAGACCTAGATGTCGTTCATTCCGTGCTCCTTTCAAAATGAATGTTGACAAGTAATAGGTGAAGTAAAATATGTATATAAACTCTTCTGGGGTTCATCCCGATTCGATTTTGTTAGAAACTCTCGACGTGTGAAATGAGTTGCCCCAGCTTTGAACACATGTTGATAGATGGAGCAAAAATCGTTTCCAAATGTAAACATTGGTGTGCGCTAAACATCTATGGGAATGGAATGCCAACAAAGTACATCGAATCAGCGAATCTCTTTACTTTCTGAAGAATCAAGAGCGCCGTGTATTGAGTGTTTTTGTCGAATTATTTTACATAAGGGTTCAAGTGATTACATCACAGTATTTCTGTGCATTTTGGTTAATTCATTCATAAAAGACAGTAGCTGTCTACAGACTCTTGTAAACAGGTTAGGTTGACTAGTTACAGTTCTTCAATGTATCTTGTGAAAGGTAGATGTCGCTAGTTGTATCAATTTCTGTTCTGATGATTAGAACAAAAAAACAATCTATTAGAGAAAATTAATTTATAGTTGAATTGTTTAATAGTCTATATTCAATTATATATATAATTTTGACATATAACATAAAATAAATAATAATCATCAATAATAGTATAAAGATTATAATAAAGACAGAAAAGCCAACTTTTCTCATAAAAAAATCTTGTTTATCTCCAAACTTGTGAAAGAAGTTATTACTGATGATTTGAAAAATAACTTTTTATTTTGTTAAAGATAGTTTTGGCACAGCCTATTGTTTTCATCGAAAGTTTGGTGAAAAACAAACGAAAATTATCTACTAAAATCACTGAAAAACATAACCTAAATCACAAGCAATGAAACCTTCAAACGAAAACTATCCTTCATAATAATCCAACTTTGAATAAAAATTGACCATCAAAAAATCATACTTCCAGTCGTGCTCGATCACATATTTTGGTGCAAAATAATTATCCTGGTACCTCCGAGACTTCTTCAGCTCAGATTTACCATCTATATACATCCCATTCTCAATCAAATCCTCTATGTAGTTCTTGTCTATCTTTCCGTGCTCAATCTTATCCCAGTCGATGATGTTCTTCGGTTTGCTGGCTATAAATTCCACTACCTGTGCTGGGTCATTGCAGTATTCACAGAACCAGCCTCCGTAGTGGTTGAGGTCGCCCAAAGTCAGACCCTTGTACAGGGGACTTGACAAAGTCTTATTGTCCGTGAGCAGTTTCAGTTTGTTACTGAATGACTCCTTTAGGAAGGACATGGTGCAAGCACCACCTCCGGTGATGGTCCTGAAAGGGTGGATCCAAAAGAAACCGAAAACTGACCACCTAAAATGAAAAAAAATGAATTGACAACTTTTGAATGATGAACCATGCATTTATAAGACAAAAAACCATTATTGAGGTACTTAAATTTGACTGATATTCAAAATATTGTAAAGTTTTATAATCTTTTTTTGAGTTAATTAATCTTCAATAATCTGAAAAAATAAAAAATCTGCTGAAGTGCAGTAAAGGGCAAATTGAAAAGTTTACCCTCTGTAATATAATCTACTGGGAAGTCCAGTTAGTCAGTAACTTGTCGTGTTCAAAAATTTTGTTTGCAAAAGGATTGTTTTTCAAAATGTTAACCACTTAAGAAAGCTAAGTATTAATAATAAATTATTTCAATTGTTTTTCCAATTTGTAGGCAAAATTTATACGACAAGTTAGTGACTAATTGGACTTTCCAGTAGTTTATATTACGTAACTTTTCGGAGTGAACTTTTCAGTTTGCTACACTTCAGCAGATTAATACGAGTTAACAGATGGTCGCGTAGAAAGGTTATATTTTTCTAGTTTGTTCCATAGAAATACTAAACCCAAACTTTCTTGAAAGTTCAGGACAATTATTGTCACATGAAAAAGAATTGCGGCGAACTCAAAAATCCTTTATTTTTCGAGCAACTGAAGATTTAGTTATACCAACAGTTGAAGTCCATTTTAAATGCCAAGGTAGATTTATTTATTTCAATATTTTCAATCTGATACAAATAATCAGGCAACCATACGGTGGGGATATATGCAAAAAGAGATCTAACAATGAAGCAGGACAGAAGTTTGTTGTGTTAATGGAAAAATCCAATGAGGAGCATATTACAAAACCCAGTATTTTCAAAGATCGAGACATGATGTTATTGAAATGGGGGCAAAATGTCAATTTTTTATCAAATTTGAAACCAATCAGTTATTTTCTTATATTCAGATTANTTTAAACCAATCATTTATTTTCTTATATTCAGCATAAAATAATTTTCAATTGCCCAATGATAAAACAGATCAATTATTGATTGCAGTACTGATTAGATTGTTGTAAATATTTTGATCCGAACATGTTAAGAAAGAGGTATTGTTAAAGATAGAATAAATTACATAAAAAAAAGGGGAAGGGCCTTGGGTGAGATCTTTGAGGGATTGCCGATTTTGGAATCAATACTTCTGATGGTTCAGAAGAGCGACAATAGGTCCTTTTTTTATACATGAAAAAAAAGCCAAGTAATGAAGTTGCGAACAAAGATTGAAAATAATGAAATTTTACCACTGGAAAACATATTGAGAGTGATTTTTACCTGAAGCGAAACTTGATTGGCTGTGGCCAGTGGTCATGGAACTTTAAAAAAATCAAGGCATCCTTGTTGGGTATCTCGTTGGCACTGCTTGACAAAATAATGTCATCGTTTCGTAGATTTTTCAGGTACCACCTTACTTTTTTCCACACAGTTTCTCCGTCATCTTTCAGATAGAGGATCTTATTTTGGTGTTCCTTGCAGAAATTGTTGTCCAGTTTTTGACGCAAGTAGTCGCTGGTGTCATCCTCATAGAGGATGAACAGGTCCACGATAGCGCCTAATTCATATATCCTAATATCAGTGACGAACTCTGAGAACTTATCCACCTTGAAGATGTAAATCAGCCTCCGTTCGAACGTCCTGGGCCCTCTGATCTTGAACGGCTTCCTACTGGTCAGCAGTGCTCTCCACAGAACTTCTGGTTGCCCACAGTCATTTCCATGCCAGCCAGGCAAGCACTGACATCTCCAGTTGATACCCTTAGCATACTTCATAGAAGACAAATCAGTTCCGTTGATAAAACACAAGCTTGAATTAAAGTCGACGTAACTCTGCCTGGTCTTTACGGTTTTCAAAATTATATTGCTATCGAGAGTGTGATATGTGTTTCGAACTTCTTCTGTGTCTTCACTACTCCTCAAGAAAGAAATCCTTCCATTGGATTCTTGCTCGCTGGGAATCAGCTGGACGTAGAAAAAGATTAGTAGTAAGCATACCTGGCTCAGGAGGAGTGCCCACAAGGAGATTTTCTTGAGGTTCCAACGAAAGATATACATTTAATTTTTTTTAAGCTACATAACCTATTTGTCTCACTTTCCGAAGGTCACACTTTGAACGTGGTGGTATTTTGGTAAACAGGCGTTTGCCAGGTTTTGGATTTCATTGTGATTAAACCACCTGGGAAGGGAAAGGAACACCCAGGGTGATTTTGAATTCATAGAAACATGTCGGTTTTTCTCATTTGACAGCGGTGGATTGACGATTGACATACGTAATGTAACATATGACATGACAGAAAAATGTCATAAGATATATATTCAATACTGTTGATTTCATGGGAGTGACAATGCATAAATGCCACGTATTGAGTGCTTTGTTTAGTATAAAAAAACAACTTGGTATAGGAGAATAGTGAAGGAAAGGAAAGGAAATAATTCCAGAATTCCCTGAGAAGTGTGTTAAAGAATTTTGAGGTATTATTGGTTGGTCGGTTAGTCAAATATAAAGTCAATTTAAAATTAATCGGTTCAGCAAATGTATGTGTGATAATACTATAAATACATAAAATAATATGTATGTGTATGCAAAACAAGAGGCAAGGGGAGTTATTCATATTTATATATCTCAGAAATTTTAATACCAAATGTCATTTGACATTTTCATTGTTTTCCTCGAGTTTTGCACCCTCCCTTAGTAGCGTAGTCTCCTCGAATATTTAGAAGGTGACAACTCTTTTGTCGAATATGTCACCGAAGGGAGTTTCATTTCTCAATTTTTTTTTTTCATTAATTTGGCTTTCAGCCAAACGGGTTATCGGCGAACACAGAGCAGGTGATATAAATGTATTCATGAAAGGCACGGCAATTCTAATCATATTACTCATTCTTTGTGTTCTCGGGACAAAACAATTGTATGTTATGGAATTGGTCGATACTTGATGAACATTTATAACGTATTCAAGTGAAACTTGATTGGGAAATTTTTACTGGATATGTGTTTCGCTATACAATAGTTTCCTCAAGTGTTTTGAAAACGTTTCAGGACGCTATTGCGGTTTTGTAAACTGTTCAGAGAAAATTTCACAATAAAGTGTTACTTGAATATAAAAAATTGTACTGCCTATAAAATAATTGAAACCTGTTATATTTCCAGGTACCCATCGAAAGTCTTCGTTGGCGACACATTCTGCTACTTTTCTGGTATGACTTTCGCCGTCGTCGGCATCCTGGGCCATTTCAGCAAAACTACTTTGCTCTTCTTCATCCCTCAAGTGTTCAACTTCCTGTACTCCTCTCCACAGCTGTTTCGTCTGATTCCCTGTCCGCGACACAGGCTACCGAGGTTCAATTCCAAAACAGATTGCATGGAGATCAGTACGACTGTGTTCAAATACTCGGAGTTGAACCTTCTGGGAAAGTTCGTGATAAGTCTCTTCAGGATGTTCAGGTTGATTAGGTGGCAGGAGACTAAAGACGGATGCGTTATTACTAATAATCTCACTTTAATCAATTTGGTACTGCTATACTTAGGTCCATTGCACGAAGCAAAGCTGACCAGCGTTCTAATAGCCATTCAGGTTTTCTTCACAGGTGTGGCTTTTGTGATTAGGTATCCCTTGGCGTCTATTTTTTACGATGTTTAGGTGTTGTAGGTGTGAATTTCTAATCTTGATTGGGGTAAAATATGAATTTCTGACCTAGTTTCGAATGTATCTTTGACACAAGACGAGTTTTGCACCAAAATTTTATCTATACTTGACGGTTCATTTTGCATATAAAAGTTATGTGAGGTAATAATAGTTCAGAGGTGCTGTCAGAATGTATAATGGACTCAGGTATAGGTCTTCTAGTATCCAAATTAAAGTCAGAGTGTATGACTTTCATTTCGTTTGTCTTTATTATTTGTAGAAAATACAGACCTGTACGATATGTATGTGACTGCTTATTTTGGAAAGATTTCTTTTAGAACAACCCCATAGCTTGTACGCGTATATATTGTATATAGTGTGAAAATAGAAGTAACTTATTTTTATAGCTACCACAATTTCCAAAGAAAGAATGACTGCTTTATATTTAAATATTATTTTAGAATAATTTTATAAGGCACCTCACCTCGTCTGCAATTAGCTACATCCTATTATTAATTGTTAGTATGTATAATGAGGACAACCTCTGCGAAATCAAGGCAAATGAAAAAAAAAATCTAGTCTCTGAAAATTCTGATGCCAATGACCATCTCATTTGGAGTTGTATGGAGTTGAAAATATAACGAATTAACGGCACACACACACACGGTGAGAGCGGAAATGTGGTTTGACAGAATCAAAAAAGGCATATATAAAGTCCTTCGATCATTAATACTGATTCTGTGAAAAAGCACGATTTACAGCTCCATCTATAGTTTAGGACGAGGCGCAAAAATGTAATAAGTTTTTTCGTTTTAGGTATGCCATAGAATTGAATTGAATTTGATTCTTGATACATATAATTGAAACTTGGGGCTACAGTAAAGTTAGGAATTGATTTTTGTAGTATATTATGGAGGTGATAATGTTCTGTTTTTATGTTATTTTCAATAAATAGATCTTATTTGCCATGACTGCATTATTTTGTTCAATCGATATAGAATACTATATAGCACAGGGACTTGATAATGAATATTCTTGAACGCGCATCAGCATAAATGACACACTGGAAATGATTTTGAGGAACGGGTTTTTAATGAAAATTATATTATTGAAATATTGAGGATGCCTGCCTCAGGATAGATTTCTACAAGGTATCAGCTTTCATAAACTATTGGACAAAAATGTAGGGAACTTTCAATATCCACGCGCTTTCCTGGTGGAAATCTGCTGTTTCGCCGTAAGTCACTTACCCTATCAGCTTTTCAGTGTCAAACCTTGATAACATTATAAGAAAAAACACCTAACTCATTCATAAATTTATGACTCTATGTCATGGAATGAGTTTAATCTACTCATGTCATCGATGACAGTACGTAATGACATTCATTCACTTATTTGATTCAATCCCAGCCATAGGAATCTTGTTTGGATTGAAAGGGATATATTTTCGGTAGAGAATAATTTTTGGGAAAGCTATATGAAACAGAGTAGATGTTTCTAAAGGGCTTTTCTTTCAGTTTGTGCCTGAAAGTCACTTCTTTGCATGATCTACACGTCTTTGTATACAGTTGAATTTTTGAAATCGATTGCTTTCTTCCTTTTTTGGAAGATTACCACATTTTTTCGTATAAAGATGGAGAAGTAGAAAGCCAAAATCTTTCTTCGACTTTAGAAAAACTCCTTCATTTCGAGAAATTAATTTACTTTTTCCAAATGTATGTGATCTAACGTAACCGACACGGTTTCAGCAACTTTGATGACAATAGAGTGACTTTGCTTGTCTGATTCGCAGATCATATGATAAAAAGCGCTTAATATAAACTTGATGGTCGCATAGACTTCTTGCACTATCTATTTTTAATTCGGACACCGCTCGAACACGTGGTTGCAGCAACGAAATTATTTTTTAGGATACTACCCACACACGATACAAGGTCTTCTTTAGATAACCCTCTCAACATTGTTTGTTAATTCGTGTATTCTAATCATGTAATTATAATAACATCCAATCAACTGAAAGTGAAACGTGTGTAAGATGTTATTGTGAACGTTGGACCCCATTTTCCAGGAGGTTTATCGACCGATTTCGTAAACATTTTTGTTTTCATTCTCTGCGTTTTTTTTTCACCAGAGAAGATTGTCCCTCGAACAGAAGATGACGGAAGATGCGGAAGAATATAAGTTTCTCAGATTCTGTGGCACAAAATAATGGTTCGAAAATGGCTGTCGCAGATAATAATGTGGGAGATAATTGAACGGATACTCAAACTGAAAAATTCATAACACCGAACAAAATTCGTCCTATATTTGTTTCAAGTCCTCGAATAATATGATGATAGCTATAGGTGATTTTGTTCCCTGGAATTTTATCTTACATGCCACCAAATTCAGGGCGTCGTTCATCAGCTGCAGAAAATAATTCTGTTTGCAACGAACGTACAATACGTTCTTGGTGCCGATATTTCTGATGAGAAAACAATTGAAACCCTATTTTGGTTCTCCCCTCTATATTTCTTATTTGGACCATTTGATAGAATATGTAATTCACTTTTCAACGATATAACACAAGTGACCATTTTCTTTAAAAATTACGCCGTACGAGCTTTGTACGGGGTACATTTTATATTAGTGTCAACATTATTCTATATGTGGTTGTATACGTTCTGCCAAAAAGTAGTTGGAACTTTGTTTTGTTGAACTTGGTTTAACATTCGACTACATGGATTACGATATTTAAACAAAGTTGTGATTCAAGTGAGGTTCAACTGAACCTGGACATAAACACCAACCTTAGAGCAATGCCCGTAACATATAGAAAATGTGTCATAGTCTCTATATCTCTGGAGTACAAAATTGATAAAGTTGATACCCGAAGTGTTCAATGAGAATTTTGGGTTTGTCAGTAGCATCTACAGCTGTCTGTAGATGCTCCTAGGCTACATTTATGGTTCTTTCTCCATATTGACGAAACACCGTAAATGCTTGAGAATAATAGTATAGATGGAACATGGTAGGTACCAATTTTTAGAATAATAACACATTGGTTGTAGAAAAAATAATTTACTGATTCACTGTGAGTTACTTCTCAAGAATAATCACATAAAAATCTCATAAAACCCACCAGTACCCGTGGTACTTCTTAAAAAATCTATCCGACCCATCAAACACAAACATCTGAACTAAAAATGGTGAACAGCCTCTTTTGGAACAAAACCGCTAATTGAGTCTCGATGCCGACTGGGGAGCTCCCTTGTTGGAATGTGAGCACCATCTTCAAACTCCACCACTGGGGAGCGCTGAAACAGCCGCTAGAAATGGACGGTCTATTCATTCCGAAACGAAATTCGACTTTTTCACAGAAAAAATCGTTCGATTCATCTCACTACCGATAAAATGAAAAATTGTTTCGATTTTCATTCACTTAATACGGAAATATCACAGATTCATCGTCTTCGTTTACTCGGTGCTGCGCAGTACGTTGACAGTTCTTCTTTCGAACAGGATTTTTCACAACATTCGTTGAACACTCCGTGGGGGTACCGTTTCCGTCGCCTGTGGGTGCCCCCCATGAAGTTTGTAGCCTCCGACTTGGACTGGAAGGGGTAAGTGGAGTCTCCAGAAGGCATGTCGGACATGTAACCTGTCGTGTCCCACGACACTCTTCGGGAATCTGGAATAATAATAATAATGAAATAATACCTTCATTGAAGATGTATATTGGGTAAAAAAATAGCTTAGATCATTTTGCGCATATTTTAAATTTTGCCGCTTCCAATTAATCTACTGAGTGGAATCCTTGCGGTAAAAGAATAAACGATGAATAATTCATATTAAGTGTTATGTATCCAGAGGTTGGTAAGCATGAGCCACAAGGCGTCACTACCGACATCTTCCCCAACACACGGTGTACTGTGAATGATATGATGACTATGTTACTAATTGGAATGAGTTGTTTGTCATGTATATGAGTATTGCTTTGGGACAAAAATATACAAAATACAATAAATATCTTGGCAAATATGTGTTCTTCAATATCTCTCAACTGAGCTGATATAAAAAGTATTTAAAATGATGTGTTTGACATCAAACTGTTAATCAGAAAGTAATCTATCATCCGTGTTAGGAATCACACGTTAAAAGGTAAGACCTCGTTACTCCTTAGCTCGCACAAGTTTAGACTTCTGAGAGTCGTAGGGGGGCGACAGCTGTCACTAGAGTTTATTTCGAAAATTATTGCTTTCGGCCTTTTTTGAAAGATTCCCACATTTCTTTGTATAAAAAATGAGAAGTAGAAACCCGAAACCTTTCTTTCCCAACTCAACTTACAATTGTTTTTCTTGTGCAAGGTGTTATAGTTTCCTTTGCAGATGGTGGAGAGCGCCTGCGCAAGATATCCACCACAATACGTCCTGGGTTCTTGTCGTGTTATTTCCCGTTGCAATTCGCCTAGTTGAGAGTTCGTAGTCTTGATGACAAGGATGACGAGGAGGACACTAAATCTGAGTTCCATCTAAAAACAAAAAAAAAATGATTCTGGTAACAACGAGTTTGCAGAATTCAATATTCACGCAGAAAATGTTTTGCAGAACATTACTGCTTTTGAATAGATACTCGGGATGTTAGTTGATATATCTCGACTTAATTGAAACTCTGTGGCCTGGATGTTGCAATAATAAAAATGAAATTAATTGGAAAATGTTTTTAAAATGCTCAATAATTAAAATTCTTGTTATTACCAATGAGTGGTAAGTATGATAATGATTTGCTAAACATTGAATATATTGCGTGTATTTGAGTAATGTTTCATCATAATTCACTTTTTTAGGAAATTTGAAACAAATAGAAAAGTACAAATGGAAAACTTTTCGTTGTTGCTAGTCACAAAAGTTTCAATTGTTAATTCCAAATTAAAATTGAATAAGTGGAGAAGTGTTCCTCATCATAGGGAAAGATAAACATTAGTCTTCAACTTTTTTAGGAAAGCGTTAGGTGCGCTAGTGTTACAGCACAGTTGCTTGATAACCAAAATCTGGATGAGCATGTTAACCGACACGTGTTTCAATCACCAAGTGATCATCTTCAAGAGGAAGATTAAACTGAGTTTGATCTTCCTCTTGAATAAGTAGTATTCAACATATCTAAGAAAAGATAGATGCAAAGTTCATCGTATGCACAAATTGAATGAAGTTGACGTTGACAAACGCTGAAAATGTGTTTGCGAGTTGTTTAGTGAACGAATAATGAATAACAGAAATTTGTTGTTAACACCTGTTGTCAAGTGTTAATTTTTCTGGACTGATTGTGACTAATTGTCACAACTGTCAGGATTGACCCACGAAGTTGACACCTACAGTTCTGAGAAGCTAAACGTGTAAGTTGGAATCAAGAGTGGCTATATGTTTGTTCCTTCATCTTTTCTAGCCAAAACTCCTATTTACAATTGTTAACACGGCACTGTTAATCCGTTATTGACAAGGGTGTTCAAATATAGTGACTGTTTCGAAGAAAATAAATTAACTTTTCAACAAGATGGGGCACTTCCTCACCTATACGGACAGATCAACAATTATGATAGTAATGAGAACGATTACCTTAGAAATGATTTATAAAATAGTCATCTTAATGACGTTAGTTACAGGATACCAAATATACATTTTTTCATGGTTGAGATTGTTTATTATGTATTTATGACCGTCGTGTGAAAGATGTTTATTGTATTACACAGGGTGTTATGTGGTGAAAAATTATGAGGACATGTTCAGGAGCTAATCCTATAGAAAAAAGTTCATATAAACGTATGCCCGAAAATGCATTTTCAAGTTACAGGATGTTGAACTTTCATGAAAAATTATTTTTCTGTATGCATTTTCTCGTCAATAATGTTAGCTAAAATATTTCCCGAGCACTAGATTCTTTAATTTGTTTTTAACCAAGGCCAAATTTCACCAAAATAGAATAAATGATAATTACAACGTTAACCAAGAAAACATTTTTTCAGAAAAGTGGTTGTGCATCCTCTGTACTTTGGAAACAATGCATTTCTGGACCCATATGTATGTGACCTTTACTCATAAAAATTGCCCTGACCATGCCCTTACACATTTTTTTCTCGGGTAAAATAAATCTGTTGATGTCGTTGAGCAGTTTTCGGCCAATTTTTCTCTACGAATTCAAATTGAACCAAAGCGGTACCGAAACATCCTGAAAAATCAACCAGTCATTTGGTATTGATAGTGTTAATGAACGCACTGTTCGACAGTATTCCAGGACGAGGATTTGAGGACTATTGGAGCCTGACCCATCGCAGACGGCGTGTGGGATGGCGGAAGAACTGGGCATCAGCTCCCATGCTGTTTTTGATGGGTTTTAACATATGGCCAAAACTATTGATGGTATCACTGACCAAGAACTTCAAATGATCCTTAGGATCTGTGTAAAATCCTCAATAAAAGTTCTACAGTACTTTATGGGATATCATATGTGAGAATAAAATGACCATAGGATTGATATGACAAGAAACGTATTTAATTTTTTTGACATGTCCAGAATATCCTTGGGCTTGTAAAATCGGATTCCTGATATATCCCAAATGGTCCGCGCTTCGTCCTAGTGAAATTGACAGAACGTCCTGGGGAAGGCCTAAGAAGTTCAAATAATCCTTCCTAAGAAGGATTATTTGACGTTGTCCCTAAAATTGGTCCCAAACTGATCATCAGGGTTCATGGGTTGAGTTCCATAAATGAATTCGGCTCCAAGTCTTTCAATTTCTCTGGACCAATGAATCAGCTCTCGGAAAAATAATGGAAACTTCGAACTACATGCTTCACACGTTTTTTGTTATCGGCCCGATATTGGATTACCAAAACAACTAATTAATTAACGATTATCTATGATGACATAGCCTACAAATATTCTGCTTGGGTCATCACAACATGTTGATATTTCTGTTCTCTGATATCGCCCTGAGTTCATTCGACGTATTAGTTCGGTTCAACTAGATTTTTGATCTCGTATAGCGACAGCGGTATGCACCAGTGGGGCCGACAATACGGGATTTTTGGATTAGAACATCTTTCTCTCATCGGAAAAGCCAAGATTTTGATAAATCTACGACTCACGTTAATTATTCTGTGAAAATGGATATTTCAGTAAATTTCATCAGTTCGGACTTCCATTCCAACATTGAAATAAAATACAAGCAAAAAATTGAACAATTAAACAAAAAAATAAGTTTACTTCCCGACGTTTCGATTGTTAGTATCCACAATCGTCTTCGGGTGATGACTGAACTAATTCCTCCGAGAGATGACTATTTATAGGTCATTCGAATGCTTTCACAAATTCCCTCTTCCCTCTCTCCGCTTCACTAGCAGGAGTTAGCCGTCTCCGCTTGATTATTTGATTCTATATGTTGCGTATCTCTACGCTAGCTTGGAGGAATACGTTGTTGAACAACATATATATGGCATATTTAAATTTTCTCCGCAACCAGTGTACCACCTTGTGGAAGTCCGAACTAATGAAATTCACCATGAAACATTGTCAATTATTGTTAATTGTATGTGGAACATTAGACGGAATTCCAAATTTGAGGTTGAAATTTATGATTACTTGTATCGGTAAGCAAGGAATTAGTAGGATGCTGTGTAAGAAACTGCTACTTCCAACTGAAGGACGAATTCTTTACGCAAGATGAGGGACTGCCAATGGGATCGCCACTTTCACCTCCGTGCGTATGTGTTGTTTCCTGCTTTCGGCAAACAAGTGTTGCCCATCTTGACACTTGGATGCACCGCGCTGATGAGGACCACAAGAAGCCCCGAGCCTGGTTGAGATACGTAGACGAAACCTTCGTAATATGTAACCATGGGAATGCAGAACTAGATACTTAACTGAAGCACATCATCAACGTAAGTCCTTCTATCACTTTCACAATGGAGAAGGAAGTCCACAACGAATTGCCTTTCTTAGACGTATTGGTGAAGAGGATCGACATTAAATGGGAAACATCTGTATATCGAAAACCGACTCACACAGGACAGTATCTGAACCAGAAATCCAACCACCATCAATCGACTAAGAGAGGAATTATCAAGACTCTACTAGACCGTGCTTTCGGGCTCTGTAATACAAAGGAAGGTTTCGAAAAGGAACTAAGCATCATCAAAAATGACCTTCAACGGAATGGTTACTCCAGAGTGATGATAGAACAGTCTTTAGCTAGAAAACAGCAAGGGCTCCACAAGGAAGAGAAGCCGCCACAACCAATATTTGTACTTCCCTACATCAGAGGATTATCGGAAAGGGTAAGAAGGATTAGGTCCAAGTATAACATCAGGACCTGCTTCAGATCTGGGAACACTATCCGTAGCATCTTCAAGAAAACCAGGCCACCAAACGCAGAGTGCGATTCCAAGAATTGCATTTACCGGATACCCTGAGGAGAGAGGGAAGAGGGGATAGATGAAAGCACTCGAATGACCTATAAATAGTCAGATCTATTTTTCATTTTTTGTTAATAATATTTTTAATTTTCAGCTTTTATTAATATTTAAATTTCTTTATTTTTTTGGTTGTTGCTTGTATGTTATTTCTTTGTAATTTCAGTTTTTTGTTTAATAAAATTGTTATTTTCGGTTGATCTTTTTAATTTTATTCTTTTTTTTTGTTTTTTTTCAGTGTCTTGTCTCGAAACATCGAAGTACACCATTGAGGATGATAGTATCTCAAGCGACATCCTATATGGATACTCTTTTATATATCACTTTATGCAGCGTTCCTATGAATAAAATCTCTTTCAATTTCCAAACTGAATGGGGAAAGTGATTTTGGTGGACCTCCTTCTTCCGTGTAATCCAATGTTTATGTGGAATCAGTTGCTTTTTGCAGTTTGCATCTGAAAGAATTTTTTGTGTTCGATGTGAACCTCTTCATAAAATGTTATTTTTCATTCTTTCTTTAGGAGTTTCCCACATTTTTTCTGAAGGATAAGCCCACAGCGAAAAATCCTTTATCCGAAAAAACTAGTCTCTCCGTAAATTATGTCCTTTCTTCTTTATATTTGAAAATATAATAATGAAATGTTTCAAATTCAATATTAGGTATTATCTGTTTGTCAACAAGAACTATTTGATTGAAAATTAGGAAGACTTTTCTGGATTTTGAAACGAATGAAAATTGTGACAAACTAACAAGTCACAAGTCCTGATGATATTCAGTTATTTCGACAGACTATCATGTTTACATTTCCATGTGTTCCATCTGCGAAATTCGATTAGTCATCTTACTAACAGCAGACACCATGCGTAAATATCAACTCTTCTACGAAATTCTTTGTCCAAAGTGTAAACATGTTTGGACTATTTCAGGATTTTTTATTTCCTACCATAACATGCCCTTTGGTGTTCACGAGAAAACAGCATGACGGTATAATTTCGAAAAATTAAGTTCTATGGTCCTTTGTGGTCCTTTGTATAAATTTGTATAAATTTCACCTAAACAATTTCGATGTGATACAAAAATCATATAATGATGATTCTTCGTTAAAAGAAATATTAATCAATTTCATTCTGATTCCAATAAAGTTTCAAATAATTCACCGATCGTTTTTTTGACAATAATGCAGTCTTCTTACAAATTCATTTATTAGATTATGAAATTTTTCTGGAGTAATTCTATCTGTAAGTTCTGGAACGCACTGTAGCTGCATACTTTTAAGTCCTCACAAAAATCTAAGGGCGACATATCAGGTGAACTAGTGGGCTATTCTAGAAATCTGTCTATCTAATGCAGTCTGCCAGCCATGTAACGTTGGAGAATCATCCCAAATTCAATTACAGGAAATCTTTAGAGAAAAATATCTAATCGAGGTGACGATTGAACCCGCGACACTGGAAATCTAGAGTGTTGTAACATTCCAGTTCTCCACTATTCATTTTATATTGTTTGGGAGAGAATCTGAACACAAAAAAACACTTTTTGTCGATTTTAATTTGTAACATACACATTATTTAAAATTCTATTTTATATTTTCTGGAACTGGGATTCTTCTGAGCAGTCTAAAGTATTACTCCGAATAAGTCATAATCAGAATGCTGTCACCTATTTAAAGTCCATCTTGTTTATTTTGATTATTTTTATTTATGTTACTGTATATAAATAGACGTCAAAAAGTAGGTACTCATATTTTTTTGTTCAGTCATAGAGATCGTAAAATTGCAAAATAATAAAAGATATATGATCATAAAAAGCCAATAGAACCAATAAAAGTATAAGGACCACTAATAGTATAAGAACAGGAATAAATTGGACAGAAGATCTCGTCGTAGACGTGTCTGACTGCACTATAAAAATGGGTCTATTGGTGAACACTTTTGAAGTCACGGACCTCAAGAATCAGAGGAGTATATTTGGAGGAGTGTAAAACAAAAGCCTTCAGTTTTCTTGATGGTTTCTTGAAATAGGATTTCGATCTGAAGTTGTGGGGTTAAGTGCATTAAACCCTAGGGTGAGACGCTGTACTTAGTTTTATTTCCTATTAAGGCCATCATTGGATAAGGTTAGAAAATTTCAGAACATTGACACTCTGATTCCTTTATACAGTGACCATCCATTTTCAATATTGACTTAGTATTTTTGTTAGTTAATTCATTTCAAAGTTGGAGATGCAAAACCCTTTTAAAACTCTCAAATAAACCGTATTCTTTGCTTCACTGGTATTCTTGAGGTGTCTCATACCATGGCGTAACTAAGTTGGTCTACAGTGACAGGTGTTGAAAATTATTTCTAGAAATTTCTGTAGAAAAAGTCCAAATGAAAGCTATTGATTTGGTAACCCTCTTCAGCACTTATTATTGCTATTCATGCAAACTGGACACATGTACCGCTTTCTTGATCTTGATCAAGAAGCGACCCAGTATGAATTACACAACAATTCATTCTTGAACACACGGATAGAAAGGTACTTCTATTGAAATTATCCCAGAAATATTTCATAATGTAAGAAATGGATTCGTTAACAGACTTCTTCGTTATCAGAAAGTGATTTCTGAGCATTCAGAGCATGTATTGGGATAAGCTCGACTGGGTTTTTGAAAGAAATCTTCAATTGAAATTATGTTTATCGTTTGCAGATTCATAAAAAAAATATATGAAACACTGAACATTTATTTTGAAAAAGTTTTTAGCCCCTTTTTAGCGATGCCAGAAAATTGTTTCTCTTATTAAAAAATACTGAAAATTATGCATCTTTACGTAAACGCTTTTCGTTAAAAAGTTAGGAGGGGGACTCACCACACATTATATTCCTCTAGCGAAAAGAAAAATGCGGTTAGACCCTTCGCACCAGTCTACATTCACGACACCTTCCAAAGGACTACGAACTATCGAAAACTCGCGTAAAGCCGCCGCGGTCATCACACTTAGCACAGCCACCGTTGTTGTGATCGGACTGTTTGTTGAAATCTCGGGGATATTGTTTATAACATCTCATGAGATCGTGCACGCGGAATCTGTGAACTGGCGCCTGCTTCGATCGGATCTCTTTTTTTAAATGAGTTCTTGTGCACGATCTCTTAGGAAGCAAGCTGTGACGGGGCCAGGGTGAACATTTGAACAAACCTATGCGATTGTCTTTGTGACTTGTAGTCTATTTCCTTGATCAGCGGAGTTATAAATCATTTTCAAGTTGCTGTTCCATAGACGTACATAACTGGAGTCGGTTGAGAAGTGCAACATGTAGTATTTATTTCAAACATTCAGTGTTGTTGTATCATTTCATGAACAAATCTCAAGGGATTTTATATAGTTGTATGAATACGATGAGAAACAAAAATATGGAACACTCGCATTGATGATTAATGGATTTTTTTTGAATAAATACCCAAATACTTAACAGTAACTTTATCTCGGTTCGAATATCCCTGACCAGCATACCGTCAAATATTTCTCCAATCATACTTTGGAGAATATTAGACAGCTCTCGTTCTCTCCTATTGACGAACTGAAGGTTCAAAAAAAGTTACTTTCTATCAAATCCACGGCCTCTGGCCCAGACAAAATTTCCTTAACGATGATACTGTATTGTTGTCCTTTGATTTTGCCATGCATCGTTCACATTTTCAACTTCTACCTAATTAATTCTGTTTTTCCTTCTGTTTGGAAAGAATCAAATATTATCCCATTGCCGAAAAAACATGACGTTACAAGCAGAAATGATCCAAGCCCTATAAGCATACCCTGCACCCTCTCAAAAGCTCTCGAAAAAATAATTGACGAACAGATTCGTGAGCACGTCCTGATGCACAATGTTTTTCCATTCCACCAGTCAGGTTTCCGTCCAAATCATAGCTGCGCCACTGCTCTCCTCAAAGTGACGGATGACATATTCTCATATATGGATGCGAACATTTACCGATCTTGATTTTCCTATGGCATCGCTAAAATCTACAATTATATCCCTGATGATTTCAAAAACTTGTCAATCTTTAATTTCAAGAAAAAGGTCAAAGGTCTTTTGCTGGATAGTACTTTAACAATAGACTTCTGATTATATTGATGAACTTATGTGAAATTCATTGCACTTTGTAACAGAATTATTATTTTAATGTATAATGACATGTAAACTTTTTTTCATTTGTACCATTTTTATGAGTAGGTATATTCTTTTTTTTTCTGGAGGGACCAGTTCTTGTCACTGGTCCCTTCATGTGGTTGCGTGGAAGAGCGCTATTCTATCGTTCTCATAAGGTAGAAGAGCGAACGATGCCATTTGCTACTCATTATTAATTAACCTTGTTCTCTGTAACTCATTTTCTTGTAGCAATAAAAACAGTTATTATTATTATTATCATTTTGCGACGATTGAGAAGATGAAAACTGAGTCGCTGGTAGAGTGCAAAAAGTGCATATCAGAACGGTTTAGAGGAGTGGAAAAAATGTATTATATCTGAGGGGGCTACTTTGAAGGGGACAAAATTGAAATTGATGAATAGGTAAATATTTTTTGGGAAAAATGAAAATTCTCTTTTTTTTGAACAAACCGCGTATACGGCGCTCTCATACACCAAAATCTTTCACATACCTTTGATATTCTGATGGAAATGTATTCGCAAATGACGGGAGTTTGAAAATCATCCATATTTAATTTCAAGAACGAGAGTAAAAAATGGAGGTACGAAATCACCAAAACCATCTTCAAGAAGAAAAACTGTGCCTGTTGATGAATACTACAAACTTGCAATAAGAAGAACAGTACATTTATTTCATTTATCGTCCTCAACAAAATAATATGAGCCTTGAAAGAAGACCAAAGTATAATTCCAATGGTAGGTAGAAAGAAATCGTGGAAAACTTCGGAGGAATTAAATTTCAGCTGGGAAAAACAAAACAGAAAATTTCTGTGAAACAAAAATGATGAAATTATTTGCTGGAGGAGACATTGCCCAAGGAATTCATTACCTAAGACGTGAATCACACGTTAAAAGGTAAGACCTCGTTAATCCTCAGGTCGCACAAGTTACGACTTCTGAGGGTTGTCGTTCGTAGGGGTGCGATAGCTGGTTAACAGAAAAACAGATTTTGAACAGATGTGACCCCAAAATCTTTGACATTTCGTACCCCCCTTCATCGAAACAACATGCAACATGCACTGTTTTTGGTCCCTGGTATCATCTCTGGTTATTTAGTAAGCTGCTTGCACTGAAACCTACAGAGAAAAACTGAGCAAATCTCATTCGGTCATCGATGGTTGTCGATTTTTAATCTTGCCAATCAATTTCTCAGCAATAGTAAAGAGATATAAAATAACTCAAAACTATGTCAACTTTTTTGTTCTATATGTACTTGCCGCTATCGGTGGTGAAATTTTTCAAGATAAAATATTAGAAAACATCCTTGATTCAATTTTTAATCGGGATCCTGTTTATAAAAGAACCAATAACAAGCGATTAATTTTTATGTTATATATTCAAATTTCCACTATCACTGATTATTTTTCAAATTTATCTCTAACAGAGGTCATAGTCGAGTGAACTCGAAAAAAATTGAAATCCAGTTCAGAAACCAAACATTTTTCTCTGATGATTCGGTCACGATATTCATTCATGTCCATGGATAGATGCTTTTGTCTGCTCGCAAAGAAGTGGCAAATGATGTTCAAAATAGACAAATGCATTGGTTTACACCAGATGATTTTACTTCAAGTACATAAAATATTTTTGATATACTCTTATGTATTTCCAAAGTATTAGGTAGGTAGGTCCAAAGTGATTGGGTCTATTCGACCCTCCACCGCAACCCACAAGGGTTTATTGTGGCTCACATCTGTGAACCGACAACTATCTGCTCTAAATATTTCCTTCACCCGGAGGATCCAGTCCTCTCTACTCGGGAAAAATACTGTATAAGGCAGTTCGTAGTTCAGTTGGAGGCAATATCAACCAACAGTCTGTTGCATTCTTCATTGAATTGATTTGTGGAATTGGCAATGTACACAAGTCTGTATGCAGTTCATCTAGCCTCTTTCTTCAGAAAAATGTGGAGAGGAGGTAGATCTAGAAGGATCTCCATGGGACTGGAGCCAGACTGATAGCCAGACAATCCTGTCTCTGTAAGCCAGAGAGCTTCGCTTGAGCCGTTTTCTGTAAAGCCTTCGGCCACCAAGCAATTGCACCATAAGTGATCATTGGCCTGACAATCATCACATATATCCAATGGATTTGTTTGGGACCTAAACATAGAGACAGGTAAGTCTTTTATCAAGGACAATGCCAATATATTTCACCTCCGTTCCAAAAGGAATGACCACACCATTGAGGGAAAATGGCGTTAGATCGTCCAATTTCCTCCTCTTGGTGAAGGGAATTAACACAGTTTTGCTGGGGTTGACAGACATCTGCTCCCTCAGGCACCAACTGTGAACAACGTCCAACGCGCTTTGGAGGATATTACAAGCTACCCTTCCCGATGTGGACCTTGCCAGTATGACAAGGTCATCTGCATAAGCTTGCAGATCGACTTTTCTTCTGTCGAGGGCATCAAGCAGACTATCCACCAGGAGCGACCACAGAAGGGGACATAGTACCCCGCCTTAAGGGCAGCCCCTGGTGACCCTGAACCTTATAGCCTCGCCTTGAAGAGTTGTAGTTGCAGTTCTGTTCACTAGCATGGCATAGATCTAGCCAATTACGGTCGATTCTATACCCTTTCTAGCCAGAGACAATCCTATAGATTTAGGTAATGCATTGTCAAATGCTGCTTCAATATTAAGAAATACAGCAACCGCAATCTCCTTGATGTCAAGGGATTGGGAGATTTTCTCAAAGATGTTGTTTAATTCTGAATCTATCGATTTGCCGGTTTGATAAGCATCCTGGTGGTAATTCAGTGGGGATGCATATAATGCTACCTCCTGATATGTCCGTCCAGTATCCTCTCAAGTCATTTTAGCAGGAAGGATGTAAAGCTGATTGGTCGCACCGATTTGGGATGTGGGTCAGAGTTAGATTTCCAGGAAAGTGGTTTTCTATCAAAAGTTCTAACGTATCTGTACTACAGGTCGTAAATGTTCCATCGGGTCGTTTAAGCGACCTAATTTCAGCAGTCGGCTCTCTAGAGAAAATATTGTGAATTATTGTGCTGCGAGGTAAGTCAGTTACCTGACTCTTTAGCTCGATAGAATAGTCGTCGAACTTCCTTTTTTTTACTTTCCTGGCTTTTGTTCCACCAAGAAGAGTTGCTGTTATCTTTTTTGACCTTCAGTGGACAGTTTTCTTGATAGTATGAGTATTATGTAATATATGTAGTTCTCCATAAATAAGTATTTAAAATTCATTATTATAATATAGTGCAGAAATGCACATTGTGAGATTATCACTACACAGTTTTTTCAGGAAAAAACACAACCACTACAGGAAAATTCTCAAGGCGCTCTACGAGCGGTGCTTGTGCGAGAACAGTGATTCATATTGGATTTGAATTGCCGGAGATTATATACATTTGAAAAAACGTTTTCAGAAGGTTTATTTAACATAAACGTAGTTCTCCAAATAAAAGAATTCTCAAAGAGTGAAGTTCGAGGTGTACTGAGTTGAACCTCAAAATGAAGAGCAGCCTTAGTCCGTCGTGTAATTCTGATATGTACCGCTCTTGGTGGAATCAAATGAACCAAGTCACTTGAACACTTCCCGTGGAAGTATCTATAGAAGAAAGACAAATCCCCAACCTTTTTCGATCTTCCAGACTATCAAGGTTGCAAGAGATGTTCGCGTCTCCAATCAGGCGGATGGAATCCAGCAACTTCAGGTTGCTTAGGTATGCCTACATGCCAAAGATGTTCTGAACTGAGCTTTATAAAGCATCAAGAGTTGCTGAGGTGTGTATAGTTTCCTGGTTCGGAACAGAGTTCCAAGCTTTTGAGAAGCAGCCTTTGCAATTCCATGATTATGCCAAGACATATTGGTGTCGATTTTAACCAGAAAGCGAAATTGTCTGTCCTGATATTGTTATACCTGGTTCGGAGACATTCATCTTTTTGG